TCATAATTGGGTAGGGTTCCTTTTCCTCTCTCTTATAGTATTACGTTGCTCTACTAGACAATTGAGTGTTGCTTTATTTTATATAAGTGAACAACCACCCATAACTCAGTGTGACTTATTAGGGAGAATTTGAAGTTATCAGTCCAGGTACAACAGACTGGCCCTATGGACCAGAAGTTGTAGGTTCTCATCAATCCTAGGCAGGAGAGACAATGGTGAAATATGCTGGAAGATTTAGTTCACCAACATTTGAAGGGCTATAAGCTTCCCATTCCCAAGATGTGCAACTCTAAGATATGACTTTGGTTGGGATTTAAATAAGCCAAAATAAAAATTTTGTACACAATATTTTAGATGCCCCAAATTAAGATTGAACAGTAGTATTTTATTAGAGTAGCAAAGCATTGACAATAAAAGTGCCATAAAGAACTATTTCTGTTACATGTACAAAGGAATATAAAGTGCCAAGGTGTGTGAGCGGCAGCATTATGCCCCAGTGTTTCTGACACTGATAGACTGAAATCTTATTTGGCACATTTCAGTTAAATTCAGCCCTGCGTTAGTAGCAGTGTGAGATAATTGGCAGATCAAATAATTACAATGAGCATATTGCTTATGTTACATTTCATTATATCAAAAGCAGCCAATCAAAATGTCCAGAAGCTGACATCATTTCCCTGCCATGGCCAGGTCATATGGCTGCTATATACTTTTTTTGGCAAAATACAAGAACTAAAATGGGAAATACACAACGGGCTTTGATGATATCATTTTTGGACTATTCACTGTGAATAACTGTATCCAGTTCAAGAATAAGATGATTCTATGAAATTTGATACCCATTGGAGGCAGGAGGAAAAATAATGTTTGCTTTCTGTCTTGGAAACAAACATAAGTGCTGCTAATTCCAGGGCTGTCAAGGAACATTGTAGGATAGGCATCTGGGCCAGCCAGACATGATTGGCAAATGACTATGAAAACATTTAAAAGCATTCAATGGGAAGAGAGCCAGGGCAAAGATAACTGAAGCAAAAGAAAAATCAAAAACTTGCAACATGCTATTGTGGATAACAGAGAAATTAATAGCACAGAGAGCGAGGAAGTTCCCCCCGGGGGGGGGGGGGGGGTTAGAAAGATAGTTCTAAGGGTTCCTGGAAAAGTGCCAGAGAAAGGGGAATCCATGAGGAGTGAAAGATTTGTCAATTGGCTATCTGCACAAATATTCAAGAGGTACTGCTTAGCTAGCCTAAAAAACATGTGCAATGAACAGATGGAGGGGGAGAGGACTGCACCTGCTGCCCTTCTCCCTTGGTTGGACAAGGACATAGGCTCTCCATTTTGACCACTGGGGACCTGCCATGGCTTACATCCATTCCCTAAACAAATTTTCTTTGAAAGCATTCTATCTCTGTTTGTCTCCCAAGTGATGTCTATGCCATGCCATGCCATGCCTTTGAAATTTCCTTTCATGGCTGAAAAACAGAAGAGTCCAATGAGGTTCTGGGTCTCACAAAGATGTCCTAGGGGATAAAGTTGTTATATTAAAAATGGTGGGGGGAAACAAGGGAATTTACTGTTACCTGACAAGTGACACCTGCTGAAATTACAAGGGCCCCTGGGTGTTCTTCAGGATTTGGTTGCAAGAGTCCCAATGGATGTTAAAATCCATGGAAGCTCAAGTCCTATTATATAAAATGGTATAGAAAAATAGTGTCCTGTATGTGAAATAGCAAAAATCAAGGTTTGCTTTGGGATTTTAAAAAATTCAAGCTGTGGATGATTTTTTTTCATGTCAGGAGTGACTTGAGAAACTGCAAGTCGCTTCTGGTGTGAGAGAATTGGCCTTCTGCACGGATGTTGCCCAGGGGACATCCGAATGTTTACTGTTGGGAGGCTTCTCTCATGTCCCTGCATAGAAGCTAGAGCTGAGATGGGAGCTCACTCCTCTCCCTGGATTCAAACTGCCAACTTTTTGGTCAGCATTACTGCAGAATCCATGGATCTGGAGGGCCAACTGGCCCTCTTCTTTCAAACCATTAATGGCATGGATACATTCTGCTATTTTCAGTCTGACAACCTTAGTAGGGAACTGTATGCTGCCCATAGAGTTTGTTTACAATCCCTGTTTTTCCAGTGAACTTCCTCTATGTCAGATAACTGTTCAACGGAGAAAAAGTTGCAGGCCTGAAAATAGTATGGTTGAAAAAAATGCATGTTGCGACTTACACTATGGAAGATTCTAGAAAGTTGCGGGCCTGAAAATAGCTGTTCTTTTATGATTTTGGTGTGCTGAAAACGAAAATGACATTTAAAAATGTATACTGGCTCTAGTTTTTATGATATAAGCAATCACGTGATCACGTATGGTTGAAAAAATGGATGTTGCGACTTACACTATGGAAGATTCTAGAATATTCTAGAAAGTTTGATGACGCAGTATTAGTGTGATGTGCAAAAGCCAGAAAGCCCTATATAAGGCCAGACTTTTGAACGGTGAGGGTCAGTCAGTTGAAGACTGAGACAGTATCGTTAAACATCGTTTTACATTGTTCTTTTTACTGTAGTTATGCCTCGCACGTGTGTAAATAAAGCACTATGGAAAAAAGATATCAAGGTAAATGGACTCCGTCAATGCTGTCAGACTACTGCTGGAGCATTGTAAGAGACAATCCTTTCCTTGAATACAAAAGAAAAGTCAAGAGAAGCAAACAGGATATAAACTAAAGTCACGATTAAAGCGACATTTAAACTTTCAGACTTTTCAACTGCATTAGGCCTACTAATATAGTTTCTTGCTGCACAAACATAAACAATAGACTAATTAAATAAATATTTCTCATGTATAAACTATTGGCAATATAATTTGACTAAAATTTAGGAAATATTCACGGTTTATATACATGCAGTAAGGTTAGGCGCATTTCATAATATTAATGAATTACCTATTGTGGAGAAAATTGAAATAGCTGTTGCATAAAAACCAGAGCCAATTAACACATGTAATTATTATATTTGAATTCAGCATGTTAAATTTATTAAGAAATGGCACATTTCGTTTCCGCAACTGAGAAAAACTGAAAATTTGTAGAACAGTGGATCAATGCAGGGACTTCAGTTATTATCCTTTTCTTTACACCCCCTCCCATTAGAAATGTTATATTATGATTGAAATACAATTAAACTTGTAAACTTTTTGGACCCAATTTTCAGAATCCCTCATACATCTGAGCATTCTGAGAGTTGTCATTTTCAAAGGTTGTTTTCCCAACCGTCACATTCTCCTATGTTGTTATCAGATCAAAGGGCAACCTAGTGCAGATTCTGGTTTTTCACTCTGATGACATCCACAAACAGAACATGAGGCAATAATCGCTCTCTGTTGTTATCCATGAACTGGTAATTTAGATGCAGTTGGCCTCTACAGCTGCAGACAGCATGGAGTCATCCAGGCCTGGCTATTGATATCCTTATAATTCAAGTAGAAGTTTTTGTCTTTTTGCCCTTTAAAGTCACCTAAATAAGTGGTTATCACATCTGGAGGTAGCAAAGACCATGCTCCTGTCAAATAAGCTGGGGGAAGCAGCATTACCACATTTCTTTTTGGAGGCTCAAAAATAGGCTGTTCAAGAGTGACTTACTTGAAGAACATTTGGATTCTCTCTTGAAAAATAAAAGGCTTAGGGCAATCCATGCCAGATTCAATATGTTGTTATTGTTGTGCTGACTTTTCCCCAAACTGAAGATTGAAGGTGGCTGACAAAAAAACCAGATTCAGATTAAAACACACACACAGGTAAACACGTTATGATTTAAATGCAAGTAAACTTATGAATGAAAAATATATACATTCAAAAGACAATAAATAAAGACAGCAGAGTACACTATTTTAAGAGAATACATTATGGCCCTCAGTAATTCCAAGACACACATCCCTCTCTCCACATGGATACCTGAAGCTGCAGATAATAGCAAAACCTGTATTTTGATTATACTTGAGTCAAAATAGCACTGGACGCCTAGAAAGTCCCACAACACTTCAAGAAATAATATTTTTGTAGTATGGATAAGTGAAGCTGTGGATACTGAGTCCATGGATAAGGTAGTTATACTGTGTTCTTTACCACTGTTTCTTAAACTGTCAGTCTCAGTCCCAAATGTGGCCACATAACTCAGAGTTGGGATCTGAAAAATTTGGCATCAGGAAAAGATTTCTGAAAATCACGTAGTGACTGTTTTAGACATTTATATGAATCTGTTGTGCGGGCCTGCCTCTGGGTAATGTCTTTGTAGACAGCCACTTCTCTTACACTAGAGGCAACTTGCAGTATATTCTCAATTGGCTTTTGACACGATAAAAAGAGTTCTCATCAGGCCCAGAAAATAACATGAAAACCCAGCATTTTACATACAATTTATTTGCTTTATTGACAATTAATTTTGCTCAGATCCAATTAGCCTGAAAATTTAAAATTACAGTAACTTTTTGGAGTAATTGAATTTTTAAGTTAAAATTCATTATGAAAAATAGCGCAAAGGGACAGGAAAGAAACAGAAAAAAGACAACTGATTTTTGTGCCTGTTTCATGCACCATTCAAAGTGCATCCATGGACCACAGGTTAATAAATATTGTCCTAACTAAGATCTCATATCCCATAGCTGTCAGACTTCTTTTCTCATGGGGAACAGATTATGCAAAGCTGCAGATTCCATTGGTCATAAGTGACAGAGTCTCTTCTTTCAACCAAGGAAAGGAGACACCTACCACAGGAACAAGGGAGCCAAAAGCCACCTGCTCTGGCCTTCAGGGTGGAAGAGAACACACTAGAACTAAAAGGAGTGTGTGTTGTGTGTGTTTGAAATTCAGCTTTCTTTCCTCAGGAACTGACTTTATCCACCGATCAAGGGCTCTTGAGAGCACTTACCTCCTGCAGTATGTAATTAATGTAGGGAGATGTATTGTATTTTAAAAATTATACCATATGCATGTGATCCTTTTTAGATGGCTCCGCTAATCAACCAGGCATGTGACATCCTGCTGAGCAACTTAAAGGTCTATGCAGATTCTGGCAGAGCTTTTGACATCCAAAGGTGCGTTAATAAATTAAAAATGAGAGACTTTTTATAGGTACTTGATTTTCCAAGGTATCTTAAATATGCAATTATTTTACAAATGGAGTTTTTAATTCTCTTTCTCCTTCCCCACCTCCCTCAGTTGCTTCTCTGTCACTTTCTCTTTTTTCTGGGCTAAATTTTAAAATGTTTTTCAAGGCCATACCCCCATTTTTAATAGTTGCTTATTTAACTGCAATGGCACAGAAAACTAATAATATTTCGGGATGTTGTCTGCTTGGGAAATGAAATGGGAGAAAAATAATAGCATGCTTAGTACAAATGTTAGCACATCAGAATAAATCACAGTTTGTTATGAAAGTAGACAAACCTGTGTTCATATAGATCTCTCTCATACAGTGTAGTTGTGGATATATTTGCTTCTGTTTCTGTTTAGCTGTAATTGAGCATTAAGGTTAATCTTAACTGTGATTTGTTGCAACAAGACAAGAGCATAATGCGGTTTGTCTATTTCTTTATAATCAGTTTTACTCTGTTTCTCAGCCAAGGGCTCTCAGAATTGGTTATGTGAGACCAGAGCTTGGAAACACGACTTTTCTAATGCAAATCCCAGAATCCCAGTCATCATAGCCAGTGGCCAGGCTAGATAAGGGATTGTGGAAGTTGCAATGAAAAGGTTTATTAAAAGCTGTATAGAAGATCAATAACAAAGCGAACAGTCCTTGCTGTCAAAGTAAAGTCTAAAAATCCTTACCTAAAAGAGGAAGGAGTTAATGAGACACCAATTGCAAAGTCACCCCACATTTAATAGAGCCCATGGAGAGATCTGAACTCAGTTTATTTCAAAGACATCATAGATTTTTTTTAAAAAAAAGAAACAATATAATATGAATCCTTCCTTAATTATTATTATTATTATTATTAATAATAATAATAATAATAATAATAGTGACAAAATTACTGTCAGCTGTGAAAGGCCAGCCTACTTGGATCTGCACACATTTTTCACCGATAAATCACACAATCCTAGACATTTGGGAAGTGTCCGATGTGTGATCCAATACAAAAGCCAGCAAAGTGATCTTGTTTGCTGTGTAGTAAACTCAGTGTGCATATAATAATAATAATAATAATAATAATAATAATACTTTATTTGTATTCTGCTGTATCTCCCTGAGGGGATTCAGCGCGGATTCCAGCATACACAAACACAAAGATAAACATTCAATGCCTAGAAACTACCAAATACGGATAAACACAGATAAAGGTAAAGGCTTCTCCTTCTGGCTCTGAGGAGTGATGCTCATATCCGGCTCTAGGGGTGGCATGACTCCATGGAGCGCCATTATCTTCCTGCCTATTGATCTAGTCACATTTGCATGTTTTTTTTTTTATAATAGTTTTTATTAAGGTTTTAAAAAATAACATCGAAAGAGGGAGAATATTAAAAAAGATGATAGGAAAGTAGGAAAAAAGTAAGAAATACATCCCCCTACCCCCAAGTCCACCAGAAAAAAAATGCAAAAATATAAAAGCCACACAAAAAGAAAAAAAAGAAAAAAAGGAGAAAAAATATAAAATAAAAATTGACTTCCATCTCTCCATCAGGTGTTGTGTCCTCAATGATAGTTCCATTATATCCTCTTCATATTTCCTCTCTTCTTTCCTTTTCTTCTTCTTTCCTTCCCCTTTTCCTTCCTTCTCTTTCTTCCCTCCCCCCCTTTCTTTTCTCTTCTTCCCCCTTTCCCCTCTTTCTCTCCTTTCCTCTTCCTTCTCCTCTCTTCCCTCTCTTCCCTCCCTTCCTCCTCCCATACCCTTCTTTTTTTCCCCCTCTTTCCCCCCCCT